ATCAAGGACGTACGTAGTCTCGGCCATAGCTTTTTATTGCGTCATTAAGCCTTGATGATCAGAGCATGACATTAGCCTTTTTATTAATCTGATTTAGGACCGGTATTGCGTATATACGTTAACACACACACACAACTGAGCAAAGGTAGCAGGACCAATACGAAAGATAATTAGCCAAACTATTATATCTATGCCTATTAATTTTATTTTGCTTAAGTGAGTCTATATATGAGATAAAATAGAGTCGGATAGTCTTCTTTACCTAGTGTTAAAGATTGAAATAATGATTATCTGAATTCGCAAGAGAGCGGAAATGGAGTTTTGAGATAAAGAATTAGTCCAATCAGCTTGGATGTTCCTCGAAAACTGATTAATGATAGAAATCACACAAAGAAATATACGGGATGTAGGGTAGGTAGATTTAGCAGCACAAAAGTAATGCACCAATCGTTTGACAGGAAGCTGGTCAAGAGAAAAGCTTCATTTGCCATTTTGACAATTTGTAAAGTGGTGCTGAGAAAGGCAAGACTCATTGACGATGCCTACTAATATGCAGGTGAGCCATCTGGAAATGTACGAAGTTCATGATCCAACGCTGTAAATAATCCTGGCTACTATGGCAAAGTGCAAAGTGCAATCATCTAGGTCTCTGTAACAACATGACTAAGTTGTGAAAACGAGGTTAAAGCATTTATATACAGCGAAAAAGACCACATCATCTTGATCTTCATAGAAGATTAAATTACTTAGGCTTGAAACTAACCGTGCTGAGGTGGGGTTCCGGTTGAACTCGGAATAGTTAGTATTCGTGGTACAGCCGCATAGCCTTGGCTTGCAGCACCTAATCGTGAGAGGCCCAATTCAGTACCGATTCCAGGTCCTCCTGAGACTCCGGAAGTTGCTCCAGCAGCTTGACCTAGGCCCAGCCGAGGTCCAATGCCAGTCGGAACGATTGGCAGACCCCAAGAGCTAAGGAAGGGGATGCCATCAGCTCCACTGGCTAGATGGGTAGCGGCAGTAGCGATAGTTTGAGCCGCAGCCTGTGCACAGTTAGAAGTCGCTTGGGCGGCGAGAAGGGCGGCATTCAAGGCATTTGCCCTAAATTGAATGGCTTGATCGGCAGATGATTGGGACATGTTTCGACTTCCTAAATCAACGGGGAAAAATACTTGATATGAGTTGAATAAGAGATTAAATGAGCGAGACAATATTAATCATCACCATCACCATCATCATCAACATATAAGATGATAAACGAAAAGATAGAGAGTAATTAAGTTGATAAGTTGGACTTACAGCCGCCTCCTTACGGCGTAGGTGGAGAGATGTTAATAAATAAATATAATTGTATAATAATGGAAAAGACTCATTTTAAACATATGAATTGTTTTTTTGTAGGTTGCTTAAGTTTATAATCCAAATGGACTGAAAAACGTTGGTAATTCCAGTAGATGAAGGGATGAGAGCACTGAATTTTGATAAACAAAAATATTTAAGTGAAAATGCAAAAAAATGCATGCTCCTCCAGGCTTATTGAATTAGTAATGGGAGAATTTGAAATTAGAAATCCCCATTCTTATCTAAAATCTGGGCAAGTCGATTTCCTCATTTAATCTGATTATTACTGGGAGTATCTGAACACCTAATAAAAATGGCTAGCATAGCTAAGTACAAGCACACCGAATACAAAAGATGAATATAAATAAATTCTAAGGCAAGTGAAATGCGTCTCTGACCTTCCGAACGGAGTCTTATCAGACTAGCCATGATCAAACTGGCCCTAAGCCCCGGCGGCAAAGCAGAGCGAAGGCGAGCAAGCAGTAAGTGAAGCAACGGTTTGGCATATGGCATAAAGAAACGTGGTGAAGCCGCAATCAGGCTGGCTAGAAGCAGAGCTGACTGCTCTTTATTACGTGTAGATCCGCTGTAGCGTAACTCATTCAAGGTCTAGATAAACATGAAGAGAATAAGAGACTTTGGATTACCATAAAATAATTGAAAATAAATACATGTTATTGAACCCTCGATATTATTTCAGATGGGTGTATGGCTTTCAAAAATTGGCCCCACCTAAAACTGAATGAGGATTGCCCTGAAATTGTGACTGTGGGTTTGTTGGAAAAAGTCTACGGCACACCGTTCTACGACCCCGAATAATCCGTGCTGACATTTCCTCTGTTACGTGACAGGCGAAAATGTAACAAAACGCTAAAACAAAGGAAAGTGGCCGGCTGAAATCCTACTTGTTATACTTATAGACGAAATACTATTGTTTGATCCCGCGTTGATGATACGCGTTTCGATGTGCAGATGCTTGTCTATTGTGTTTACGTAATACTTATGAATCAGAAGAGATGTGAGAACCCCAAACCAGACTTCAGAGCATTTAAGCCTCCTCTTGCACAATGATCCATTCTGCTTTCTCCCTCACCCTAATTCTATCAAATAGCTGCCATGATTCTTACACAATTTCTCTCGATCGTTCCTCCTGCTCAGGATGCTCGTTTTAGTGATTTATATCAACTCCCTAATCCTCCACTGAGTTAGAGCACAAAATAAGGTATCAGATTAACTCTATCTTCTGAGATAACTAGCATTATCTATTATATTTTTTGTGGATTTAGCCTAGGTTTCATTAATTCTCAATTATAAAAAGTAATACTCATTAGGATAAAAAAGCTAGAGGAAAAAACTGGGCTTAAAATAATACTTTAATTGTTTCACATTATTTTGCCTCATATTTCGTATAAAATTTTAAATTGAAGAGGTTTGTAGGTTAGCCAAGGTGGGACATAAAAGGATGATTAATAACAGATTTGAGAGCAGTTTTACTCGGCGCACCGTCCTCTGACCTCAAAAAACTTTATAATTACCAATACATCGGCAGGAGAAAATTGTGTAAATAAACATCTAAAAAATACTAAGCCGTATCTTTGAGTCTTAATAAAGCAAATTTATTAATCCTTTCCACTTAATTTTTCATACAAAATGAAAGATCCAACAACATGAAAAAAGATTTTTGTTTGATACTGGCAACCGAAAGTAGAGGTGAACAAAAAATTATCATCCCCTTTGCATATAAAAAAATTTTCAAGTGTCCTGTAATGATCGGTTATGTTAAAAATAAGATAAAATAGCGATGTATAACTAGTTAGGCACACTATTAACTGATATAATCATATAGGAAGAAAATGCGGATTTCGATGGATTTCCTGAGATAAGATTGTTATGAAGACTTTTATTTCGTATTAAGGTGCATGATGAAGAGATTCGTGGGTCGATCTCACCAGAATATGACAGCTGATTTCTGTTACACTACAGCTACTTGCCTTTAATACGAAGTTCAGGTTAATGCAGCCCACGAAACATTCTCTATCGTTTAAGCCGAAGATTGGCTGATCTTTTGTAAATCATAACTGGAACTTATTCTTACTAAATCA